GCCAAACACCGATCCGAAAATGAGGCCCACGCTGCAGCGGGAGCACGATTCGGAACGATTCGGGAGCAGAAATGAGGCCGGCGCCTCAACGAGAGCAGCATTTTAGGAAAAAATGACGCCGGCGCCTCAGCGAGAGTCGTTTCCCGGGATTTCCCGGGCATCCTGTGTGTAAAAAAATAGTACGCGGAGGGTGCGCGGCCATCACCCGGACGCCATCAGGGGAAGAGGGAGAGTATTTTCATATTGAGTAATTGTGGAGGAGGAGGAGGAGGAGGAGGAGGAGGGCGGGGGGGAGGATGGCGGGGGAGGAGGGCGGACGAGGAGGAGGAGGAGGAGGAGGAGGAGGAGGAGGAAGGAGGAAGGAGGAAGGAGGAGGACGAGGACGAGGAGGGGAGGGAAGGAGGAAGGAGGAGGAGGAGGAGGAGGCGGAGGAGGAGGAGGAGAGGAGGAGGAGAGGGGGAGAGGGCGGAGGGCGGAGGAGGAGGAGGGCGGAGGAAGAGGGACGAGGAAAAGGAGGGAGCAGAAGTAGGAGGAAGAGGAGGAGGAGGAGAAGGAGGAGGAGGAGAAGCAGAAGAAGAAGCAACAAGGACGAAGAGGAGGAGGAGGAGGAGGAAAAAGAAGAGGAGGGCGGAGGAAGAGGTGGAGGAGGTGGAGGAGGGTGGAGGAAAAAGAGGAGGAAGGAGAGGAGGAGGGAGGAGGAGGCGACAAAGGAAGAAACAATGGAGAGGGAGGCGGTGCACACAGCAAGGTGTTTTGGGAAGCCCAGCTGCCGCCCAGGTACTACCGAGTTCAGGACGAGAAGAAGAGGAGGGTCAAGCGCGCGCCTCAAGGGGCGACGGGGGCACAGGACGGACAGGACGGGGATGCCCCGTGGCATTTGGGGAGGAGAACGCAAAGTGTTTGGAAATAACCGGCTGTCGTCTAAGTGCGACCGAGTTCAGGACGAGAAGAAGAGGAGGGTCAAGCGAGCGCCTCAAGGGGGGACGGGGGCACAGGACGGGATGCCCCGTGGCATTTGGAGAGAAGAATGCAGCCTTGGCTTATGATGCTTCGACCTGCTTCAGCCTTGCTCACCAGAACAAAAATCCGAGCAACAAGAAAGTACCGAAACTTAGGGATTTTCAAGGCCCTGGGAGGCGATACTCGTTCGACACTGTTTCGATACTTTCCCGAGTGCTCGGAATTATTGTTGGGGTGTGGTTTTGAACTGCGATGAGAGAAATGAGACGGGGGCGCAAGACGGGATGCCCCTTGGCATTTGGAGGAGAATGCAACCTTTGCCAGCCAGCCTTCAGCCGTTCCAGCCCTCGCCGACTCATACAGCCGCTTTCGTCACAGATTTCTTGGCGTGCTTGTTTATAGCATTGGCCGTTCCCTCTTGCGCGGACTATCTGTCTATCGGGCCCCCATGCTTTCCAGTTGCTGGCAGCACAATGGATACAGGTTCGGATGCAGCTCCTGGGAGGTCTGATTCTGATTTTGCCATGGTTCGAAATCTGGCTCAATCCGGTCTGTTCCCGCTTGATCCCGCTTGATCTCGAATCATGTGGTTGAACCCCGCTCAATCCGCGGCCCAATCCGGCGTGGTAGCCCCCCAGTGAGGCTTGATCCTCTTTACTCCCGACGAAGGCCTCCCAGTAGTTGCCTCCGAATGTAGGGGGGGCCACGCCGGAAGCCCGAGGAAGGGCACAGGAAGCACAGGGCACTGGAGGGGGCGAGGATGATGCTTCGGTTCCGCGCGTGTAGTTTCGGCTCCGCGCGTGTAGCATTCGCACGATGATCTCAGATGCTCCTCAAAGGTCCTCGCCGAGGCAAGAACAAACACACGTCTCAGCGATGCCAAGCTCCTTTCCGTACCCATATCGGTCGTACCGTAGTTTGCCTTGATGCTGTTCCCATCGTACTTAGGGGCCATATCCCATACATTATTTCGAGCACCCCGAGCAGTATCGAAACAGTGTCGAACGAGTACCGCCTCCCAGGGTCTGGTACGTGATAATCCTCGAGTGTATTTTCTTGGCGCTCAGAATTCATGCTGGTGAATCAGCAGCCTACAGCAGGTTGGAACATCATAATGCGAGGACTAGATCGGGGAAGCGTAGGAAGCAGGACGTCGAAGGAATCGAGCCGCGGCACGCCTCACGCTGAATCGGCGCTATCCCATCGACTCCCAGACGCTAATCGACGACGCTAGTCGACGCGAGAGACAGAATTACGAGGGTCCACAAGGCTCCCATGATTTGGTACCGAACTCCCCCGAGGTGGCCCTGTGGTCCCCCTGGCCCATTGGGTTGTATCAGCGATCTTGCAGACCTCCGAGCGCGCCAGTGCGGCGCGCCCCCGACACACGGGGAGGTAACCGCGGCGCGCCTTCCCCTGGGCGCGGGGCGTCTTGAGGCCAATGGGATGCCTCAGAGGAGGAAGCATACCGCTAGCTTTCCCACGTTTTCCATATGTATGGGCCTCCTGGGAGGCCCCCGTCGCCACCGCTGGATTTGGATTTTTCTTGGGGCGATCTTGGGGACCTCCTTGGGCCGTCTTGAGGCGTCGGGAAGCCGACAAGGGTGAAACGGCCAAATGTGCCCAATACCTGAGGAAAATCAATGAACATTACCTCTTGGGGCCTTCTTGGGAGTGCTTCTGGAGGCCTTCTTGGGGCGTCTGGGGGCAATCTTGGGGGCCTCATGGCCCTTCTTGGGGCTCCCTGGAGGGCCTCGAGGGCGGCGCCCACGAGAAAAGGCATCTCTGACCCGACCCTGCGGGGACCGCCTAGGGCACCTCTCGTCCGGGGACCCCCAAGGACCGCTCCGCGCGCGCGAAGTAGAAATGCTGTACGCAGTTGCCGGAGAATTTAGTACGCTTCTGGCCCGTTGGGCCTGCGAATTTCAGCAGCCCGACTGCACGTGCCAATTGCCTCAAGGACCCCCCGATTTTGAACACTGGGAAACCGACCCCAGCCCCCACGACTTTACATGTCAACATTTTGAAATTATGACGAGTGTGCGTAACTGTCGGCGCCCTTCAAGCGAGTCCATTGCCAGCTGCCGCAGGTGGGGCGGGGCGGCGCGCGCTGTCTAGTTGGTCTACAGTTTCTCGTGCGGGGTGCGAGAGTCGTTTCCCAGGCGTTCACGTTATCCGCATCACGATTGAAACACAGGAGCAGATCTCGAGCTCAGCTTTGCCCACACCGCTCGCCTCGCGGCAACGCCAGCTGCCCCTCGCCGCCGCGTGGACGGAAGGGCTTCCAACACCCCCCTCACGCGGGCGCCCCGTCCCGAAGCAGAAAAAGAAGAGCATCCCTGCTATCCTGTCGCCTCCTTTTTTGAGCCGGGCGTTTTTTTGTTGTTCTCCTTCGGGACCCTGGCTCGAAAAACAGCGCAGGAAGATGGGGTCCACGGCTCGGGGCTTGATGCTTCAGTTACGATGCTGATTGTTTGTCGTTGCGTCGGATCTCGGGGGCGTAGAGGGGGGTGTTCGGCAGCAAACCATGGGGGCCTTGCACACCCTCGCAAATCCATGTTTTGAGTGCGCTCCCGTCGACTAGCGTCTGAGATGGTCGACGGGGTAGCGCGGATCCGGAGTCGATTAGCGTAGATTTAGCGTCGACCATCGTCGATTTACATGGGCCAACAAGGTGGTGTGGTTGGCTCCTATGAGTTGCCGCAGCAGGGGTGATGCCTAGGCGGGGGTGGAAATCGTGTTTTGGGCTCTGATCTCTCACCCGGTGTTCTTGCCCCCTCTCCTTACCTTTTGGTCCCCAACACGTCCGCGCACATCCATCGGGCCATGATTTGCGAACACTCCTTTTGGAAGTCCCCCCCTTGGACGTTCCCGAAGCAGGTACCGAGATCGCTAATTACGATATTGTTTTTCATCATCCGACCCGCAACAGGCGGGACCCAATCTTTCCCACCCCCTCCCCGCTCCGGGTGACGGTAACGAGCGTACGTGGGGGAGGGGGGGGACACCTGCCCCCCACATGTTGGTGTTCGCGCGCATTTTCCCGCCCCGACGTGCCCCATCCCCGACCCCACCGCCAGCTTGCGACGGTTAGACGAACAAAAAACACTCTACAGTCTACAGTCAAGATGCTGAAACACGGGTCCCTTGGCGCGCAGGAAGGGCTCCAGTGTCCGGGCCGCCCCCCCAATCTATAGGTCGGGGGCTCGCTGTGGCTGTGGCCAGAAAGACCACCTCGTTCCTCATTCAGCGCTCCCTGTGGCGGGTCGATGTCAAGGGAGGAAACCCACCCCGACCCGGATAATTGACGCTTACGAGACGGCCCCGGGCGCGTTCTGGACGGCCCTTCCCTGTTCGATTCCTCTTTGGGCGCGTTTACGAAACAGCTTCGTTTTGTCGGGGTGTTTCTTATGGGAGTGGATTTTCTGCGCCTTCCCGTCACTCGGAGGCGAGCGAGGGGGGAATTGAGAAGGGGCGTTTTTTTCTTCAGACGGCTTGGAAGTCTCTCGGCCTTCCGAGAAGTTCCCTAAAACCTCCTCCGAAGACAGAATACGTAGCACCACGCAGATGCGGATAAGAGTGAGGGGGCGGTGGGGATGTCGGCAGTCTTCGAGACTCTTGGGAAGCCCGCCGCAGGCGCCAAAGCTTCACAAATTATACAACGAGCTCGCCGCAGGCGCCAGTTTTTTCGTTAAACCGCTGTGGGTCGGTCGCGGGTGGGTCGCAAATGGGTCGCAAATGGGTCGCGGGTGGGTCGCGGGTGGGTCGCGGGTGGGTCGCGGGTTGGGTCGCGGGTGAATCGATGTTGGGTCGCGGGTGGGTCGCGGGTGGGTCGCGGATGGGTCGCGGGGTTGGTCACGGGTGGATCGCAAGTGGGTCGCGGGTGGGTCGCGGGTGGGTCGCGGGTGGGTCGCGGGTGGGCCGCGGGTTGGGTCGCGGGTGGGTCGCGGATGGGTCGCGGGGTGGGTAGCGGGGTGGGTCGCGGGCGGGACGACGACAACAAACAAACAAACAACAACACCGAAACAAACAGAATTTTCACCACGGATCCCCACTTCAGCCACGCACCCAGGGACAATGAATGACCGTTCGGCCCCGTCACTCTGACTTCTCAGAAGGCGCGAGGGCTTCTGAGACGTCCCGCCACCTTCAGAGAAGGCCTTCTCCCTCTCGCTTCCCCCCCTCGCTCGCCGCCAAGTCACCACGGCCAGCTTCACCTCGACGCCCGGGCCAGGGCGCACCCCCCGGCGATGGGGCCGTGGAGCAGCGGGCACCAGCTGGGTTTCGTGCCGCGCCCCCTCGGCCGCCCGCCCGAGGCTGAAGCAGCAGATGCGGACCCGGGCGCAGGTGGAGGCCCGTGCGCGGCCGCCGTTCGCCGCGGCAGCGATGCTGCCCCGCCGCCGCGCCGCCGTCCGTCGTGCAGCCTGCCCTGTCATTCGTGGGGGTGAACGCTTTTGTCATGCATGGTTTTGCCGATCGGCGCGGGCCCTCGCACCGCCCTTCCCCCCCCCCCCGTGGAGCAGGTCTTGGCTGTTTTTGGCGCCCTGTATCGAGCAGGTGGAGCCTCCCCACAGGACGCACCTGCTGCGAACGGTAGCATGAGGCAGAGGTCCAGAGCCAGCACCCCCTACCCTCCCCCCCCCTTCCGCCCAGTGGCGAGACGCCGAATAAGCAAACGTTCGCCAGATCGAACCTGTTAGATCAAGTGTACGTATCCTTGTGTCCTGTGCCTCGCGACACGTGCCTTCTCATAGCAACGTGGCCCTGGGAAGGGTACTGTGTCCTCTCGCGTGTCCCCTCCGATCAAGTCCGACTGTAGGCCGCCTTATTCGTCGTCGGCTTCGTCGCCCACCGCCGCCACTGCCGCCGCCGTCGTCGTCTTCGTCGTCGTCGTCGCTGCCGCCGCCGTCGCTAGTCGTCAGTCGTCGTCGCCGTCATCGTCGCCGCCGCCACCGTCGTCGTCGTCGTCGTCGCCTCCGCCGCCGTCGTCGTCGTCGTCGTCGCCGCCGCCGCCGTCGTGGTCGTCCGCCGTCGTTCGTCGTCGTTCGTCGTGGTTGTCCGTCGTTCGCTGCCGTCCATCGTCGCCGTCGTCGTCGTTGGTGTCGTCGCTCGTCGGGCCCGCTGTCATCGTCGTCCAGCGTCGTCGTGGAGGCCCATGCGGGCCGTGGCCAGCGGGGTCTTCCCCGTGCCCCTTCTGTTATGCCCCTCCTCCAGACACGCAAGGAGGCCTGGAGGTTCCTGTTCAAAAGCCTGGAGGGTCCTGCTCGAAGGCTCAACAATCATCACACAGTATTGGTTATTCTGCACGCCCCTCCACCCCCTCCTCCTCTCTTCTCCATCGCTCCTTTTTCTCCATCCATGTATCCCTCTTCCCTCTTCTCTTTCACGTCCCCCCGGTCTTCCTCTTCATCATCCCTCTCACGTCGGTGCGTTGTCTCCCTCCCTTCTCCCCCTTCTCTCTTCTCTTCCACGTCCCCCTCGTCTTCCTCATCATCCCCCTCTCTTTGGCGCGTTCACAGCCCACTTTGAATTCTTGACGTTTCGCGTATCTCTGCCAGCCCCCCCCTTGCCGCCTGATCCGCGGCTCCCGCGCGCGCCCGGGAATTTAGTCGCGGCCGCAGCCCGACCGTGACTGCTCGCCGCCGGCGCTTCCGCCTGCGGCTGTAATATATATATATATATATATACATATATATGTATATATATATATATATATATATATATATATATAAGTATCTCTGCCAGCCCGTCCAGAAACGACGCCCATGCGAGTGGCATCGATCAGGGTCGTGCAGGAGCAAGCTGTGGAACAAGGAGGAGGGGCAGCCGTCAAGTAGAAGCCCTGGAGCAGCCTGATCACACCCCGAAGACAATCATCAATGCCTTCACGAATCTTTCGATCTGGAAGCTTCTTGGCAGCTTAAAGGGTCCCTCTTGGGGCCATTTTGGAGTCCTGTGGGGCTCTCTTGGCGCCCTCTTGGGGCGCTCTTGGGGCCTCGGGCCCCCTTGGAGGCCATCGATCAAAGAAGGGGGGCCCCAATCTCGCCCTTCGCCCCCGTCCGAGATAGACGAAGCCGCCTCTTGAGGAGCTCCTGGCCCCTGGGGACGCCGTGGGGCCAGGCCCCAGAAGCCAGTGGAAAGCGAAGAGGAGACAAGGCATAGTTCAGTGCTTCGTCAGGTGTGGACAGGACTTGGGGCCTCTCGGACGCGTCCTCGGGGGGGCTCCGTGCCCTTTCTGGGGACATCCCGGGGCGATCTCGGGCCCTACTCATTGAAGGTATGTTCTAATCTGTCTTGAGGCATCTGAACCCAGCAGTTCCCCACGCATGCCACGGAGATACGAACATATTCAACAAAAGCGATGGTCTCTCAGGGAAGGGGGTTGGAGCTCCCACCACCGCCTCTCGGGGCCGTCTTGGGCACAACCCAAGTGTCTTTTGCGCCAGATTGTAAACGCCCCGCGTAACCCCACAAAGCCATCCGGCTTGCCCTGATCAGGAATGTGGGGGAGCACGCAGTTAGAATAGAGGGCCAGGGAAACCGTCAGACCCCAAGTGGGAGAGGATGGAAGGAGGGGAAGGAGGACGAGGAGGAGGAGGAGGAGGAGGAGGAAGTGGCACAGACGGCGCACAGGCACATTTTTCGTGCCCATGTGCCGTCTGGGCGCGTGGTTCCTTGCATGCTTGCTTTGCCGTTGCCCGTTACTCTGCGCAGGGGCGCCAGTGGGTCTTGCCTTCGGATCCTGTCGCCCCTCCTCATGCTCCCCCGCGCCGCCTGCCGGCGCTGCCCCCGCGGCAGGAAGAGCAGGACGCCGCTCTCACGAAGGCCGCCCCGCCGCCCTCTCTCGGCTTCGGCGATGCCGCCGTTGCCGCCGCCGCCGCCGCCGCCGCCAGTGTGGCGGTCCATCGTCGCCGCCGCCGTCGCCGTTGCAGCCGCCGCCGCCGCCGTTGCCGCCGCCGCCGCTGCCGCCGCCGCCGCCGTTGCCGCCACCACGCGGCGGCTGCCGCGTGTTGGCCCCTCCTGGCCCTCCACTGGCCCCGTGGCTGCCAGAGTACGGCTCGGCATGAGAAAGCTGGTTCCGGGGGAAGGCTCCGGGGTCCAGGACTCGTTTCCCTTGGGACCCGCATCTTTAATGCCCATCCTCGTCACGATGTCGTCCTCGTCGCCACCTCGCTCCTCGTCCGTCGTCGTCCTGGTGCTCCTCTCCCCTCCTCAGGGGCAACGTTTGGGGGGGTAAGCTCAGGGGGAGAGACGCATGGATCCCTCAATCGCCCAATCATCGCCCATAGGGGCCTGATAGCCCACCCAGCCCAGGAACGTGCGGTCTCGCTACCGGGTGCCCATCGCAGATCTATTGGCGATGTATCGCCGATTCCAGGTCGATCATTCCGTCCCTGGGCTGGTCCCCCCTCACGTTTCCCCTCAGGGCCAAGGAGAGGTCGGGGAATCCATGTTGGTTCGTCGGCAGCGGTGGCGACCTCCTCCAGCGGTATCCAGAGATCTCCTGAGATTTCTTTCGCACTGATGATCCTGAAGCTTAACATGTTCAAGCGTTTCACGGATGGAGGGTGGGCGGTGTTCAAATTTTGGTTATCGTGTCAGTGCCGCGCACATTCGTCTTGAACGTGTGCAAGAGCACCAAGAATTTAGGGCGGGTGTTTTTTTAATTTCGTCCTCGCCTTAGCGCCGCACACATTCGTTTTCGCCGCACACGTTCGTTTTGAATATTTGCCATGTTGTTACGGAATGAGGGCGGGCCGTTTGTAAAAGGTGGTTCTCGCCTCAGCGTTGCGCGCAGTATTTTTGAACATTTGCCAGGGTTTCACGGATTGACGGCGGTTCTGTTGTTCAAAATGTAGTTCTCGTTTTGGCGCCGTGCACATTCGTTTAACCAAGCATTGCAAGAGTTTCATGGCATCCCACGGTTAACGTATCAGAAATGGCATTTTGGAGCGATTCAGGATTGTCAGGGCGCTACGGTTTTGTTGTTTCGCGGTGTTGAAGTCCAATGAATCACGTTTTGGCACGACTCAGGACCGTCAAGACGCAACAGTCAGGTTGATTCGTGGCTTTGAAGTTCTAACAATGGTGTTTTGCCACGCTTGAGGATCTTCCAACGGGTTTTCCCAAGTGGGCACTTCCCGAAGTGGACATGGCCTCTCTGTAGGGGCCTATGAAAAGGGAGCTTGGATGGAGGGTTCATCCGAACAGTGTTGTTTAGTCTTGGGTTTGCACTGGTCCTCCTCCTCCTCCTCCGGCTCCTCCTCGTCCTCCTCCTCGACAACCGACGCGAACGCAGGATCATCCGCGCCACAGGCCCCTTACCCCTCCTCCTCCTCCTCCTCCTCCTCCTCCTCCTCCTCCTCCTCCTCCTCCTCCTCCTCTCCTCTCTCCTCCTCCCTCCTCTCCTCCCTCCTCCTCCTCCTCCTCCTCCTCCTCCTCCTCCTCCTCCTCCTCCTCCTCCTCTTCCTCCTCCTCCTCCTCCTCCTCCTCCCTCCTCCTCCTCCTCCTCCTCCTCCTCCCTCCTCCCCCCTCTCTCGCCCCCGCACGCCGCCGCCGGGCCCGGGGGGGGGAGCCCACGGGCCGTGCGGCACGGGATGAGGCGCGGGCCCGCCGCGTCGCGCCGCCTCCGCGCCGCGCCCCGGGGGGGGGGCCAGCCCTGCCATGCCCGGGGGGGGCCGTCGGGGGAGGCGGCGCAGGAAGGGACGGAGAGGCGGAGAGTCGCAGGAGGAGGAGGAGGAGGAGGAGGAGGAGGAGGAGGAGGAGGAGTGAGGAGGAGGAGGAGGAGGAGGAGGAGGAGTGAGGATTAGGAGGAGTGAGGCGTGAGGAGTGAGGAGGAGGAGGACGAGGAGGAGGAGGAGGAGGAGGAGGGGCAAAGAGTACGCACAGTCGAATTCTGCATTCGGCGGCGAGCGAGGGCAGGGATGTGAGAAGGAGAAGGCCTTCTCAGAATGCTCGGGAGTCCCCCGGCCTGCTGAGGAAGTTGTTGAGCCTCCCCGAAGTCCAAGCAACAACTTCTCAGACGGCGCGAGAGCCTCTGAGAAGTCCCGCCCGCCGTCTAAGAAGGTCTTCTCCTCCTCACTTCCCACCCTCGCTGGCCGCCGACGCAGGAGGAGCAGGAGGACGGGCGCAGAGGGGCAAAGAGCGTCTGCGTACAGTCAGAGCGTGTGTTCAGGCCGGGCGGGGTGGCAACGGCGCAAGACCCTTGGAGCCCGAAGTTGGGATACTTTGGGGATGGCGGGCGACGAGCGAGAGCGGCAAAGGATGGGCCGCAGAGGAAGGACACTAGGGCACCCTGGATGAAGCCGCGCGTCCTCACTGGGCGCGTTGACTGTATGGTATGAGGAGGGAGGACCCGGAGGAGGAACAGAGGAGCTGCAGCAGCGATGTGTGGTTCACCGGCCGTCGGGGGAGGCTCTAGGCCTCCCAGATGGGATTCGAGTAGACGGGGTCGGGTCTGAGATTCGCGCCGCCTCGCGGATGCATCGGCGATGCGGTTCGATGTGGAGCCCGATTCTATTCAAGCTGACGGCGTTGATGCGTCGCCGACGGCGCCTGTGCATCTCCGATGCATCGGCGATGCATCTCCGATGCATCTGCGATGCATCGGCGATGCATCGGCGATGCGGCGCGATCCTCCGACCTCGGGGGCTCAGAGCCCATCTGGGAGGCCTCCCAGGAGGCGGTGCCCGCTGCGGGCGGTGCCCCTGTTCGGGGAGAAGCGCAAGACTGGAGTTCGCCGGAGGTCGGGGGATTGCCGGCTTTTTGTCGGCCTGCCCGCTCTGAGTTTTGATAGGGGGCCACATGCGAACCTTACCCCATACCCCCCACGATGTCTGAGGGGGAGGGTTCGCATGTGGCCCCCTACTTGGCGGTCCGAGTTTCTTGGGATGTCTGCAGCGGGAGTTCGCGTCAGATTTCTGTATGGGTCTCGCCAGATGCCGGACGGTCCCATCGGGCCACCCTGAGTCCTTCGAACCCCAGCCTTACGTCACCCCGATTTGTGCGGTCATTCATGAGAGCCCGCGAGGGTCCCATAATTTTTCGCGAGTTAATAAATGTGGTCCGGATTTCATCGGCTTCGGTCAACATTTGGGCACAATTTGGACGCAAGGGTGAAAAGGGTGGTCAAAATTTGGACGAAGTCCGGTCCAACTCACACTATTGATAGGGCCGCGGAGGTCCACAGAGGCTGCCATTAAGGCTCATCCAGGTGCTTTTCCTTCCCTCACCCAAAGTCCTGGTGTCGCAACTTTTTCGCATCGGGCGATTGTGCCTTGTGTCGGGCCCCGGGGCCCTCACAGATCGAGCCCGATCGAAACATGCCGCAGAAAGACGGCGCCGATGCATCGCCGACGGTGCCGATGCATCGGCGATGCGGCGCGATCCTCCGACCCCATCTACTCGTACCCTATTTCACCACCCACCAAACCACCCCAACCCAACCCGAAGGGTCAGATTTACCCTCGATTTCTAGTGGGGGGGGGTCCGGGAACATCGAAAAAACACGTATGGAGCCCATACCCCCCCCAACCCGAAATTCGGGTCTTCGGGTTGGGTTGGGGTGGTTTGGTAGGTAGTCACTATTGGGGAGGCCTCCATCATCCTGCTGCCGGATTGGCCCAGTCGAGAACGACACCATGGACCCAAATCCACCAGCATCGCCGATGCATCGACGATGTACAGGCGATACATCGGCGCCGTCGGCGTGGGTGCCACACGTCGTCCTGCTGATGTTCCTTCTCCCCTTGCTGGCGATGCCGCTCCACTGCTGATGCGCTGCCTTTGCCAGCCGCTGCGCTGACGCTGACAGCCGCAGGCTCGTGTCGGCACACATCTCTCGCATGGCGCGCACCCGAAACGTAGGAGGCGCCAACTATCGAGTAGGGCATCGACTACCGAATTGATCTACCCCAAATTGACGTTTCGTCGAGTCTGCGAAGCATGCATCGAACTCTCTGTAGATGTACGAACAGTATACGTATTGGTTTGCATAGTCGACTAAGGAACCAATGCTGGAGTGAATCGATTATGTGGTCGATCCCCTGCTGAAGCTCATTGCAACAGTGGACTCGCCCGTGTGCCCCGGTGCCGCTTGATCGTGCCCCGTAGACAGTTCCGTTTGACCCAGTGGGGGCGGTCGTTTCTTCCCCTCCTCCTCGAGGCGTGGGTCTCATTATTTCTCCTCCTCCTCCTCCTCCTCTCCTCCTCCTCCCCTCCCCTCCCCCCCCCTCCCCCTCCCCCTCCCCCTCCCCCTCCCCTCCTCATCCTCCTCCTACTCCTCCTCCTCCGCCTCCTCCTTCCCCTCCCCCGCCCGCTTCGGTGCACCCGCGCACCGATCGTGACCCATGAGAGCTCCACCCACGGCACCAGTGAAGGCGGTCTTGAACCGTCCTGGCCTCAAGTCGGAGCATCCTACATGGGTGGTGGGTCCCAGGGAGCTCCGTCCCGTTGTGTTCTTCCGGGTGCGCGCAATATGTGAGGGGAGGGCCCTCCACTGCGGCACACGTATTTGCACAATGTTGTGCCCCTTGTTGGGCCATGACGTTGGGCCGTTGCAGGTCTCCTTGGGCGTCTTTGGGGGGCTTCGGAGAGCTTGTTGGGTCACCTTCGGGGTGCATTGGAGATTTGGGCTAGGCTGGCAGTGTGGTCGTTCGGTCTGTGTGCGAGACAGTCTTTGAGTTCTCTTTGGGTCGCCATGACCCGTCTTCAGAGGGTGTCAATCTTACCCGGTCGTCGCAGAATATTGCAGAACCACACGTCCCATCATGCCGAGGGCACGGCGGACACATGCACAGGCTTCAAATCTGTATCCCTTTTTGATCAAGCCTGTCCTCGGTGCGGGACGGGCAGCCAGTAGCGGTGCCCAGGCCCCCGACGTCGTGATTGTTTCACGTGGACCCCCAGAGGTCACGGGGCCTATGTTGTATCCCGCGTATTCTTGCCGGCGGTCCTGGGGCCCGGTAAAGAGCCCCCAGAGGCCGAAAATGGCCAAGCTATTTCCCGCCGTGTGTTTGCTCATGATGCGAGGAGGTCTGGGTGGGCTCTCTGTCCAGACGAATATTTGTGTGCGCGCTTGCGTTTGGTCTCAGTCACTTGTACGTCGTGTACGTTGTCAGCCATGCCTGCTGCACGGGGCAGCCCGCTGGATCTTGGCGCAGCCCACCCCTGGTGGAGCAAGGCGCTGATGCTGACGCAGTTCGGCGTGATATCGTTGGTTGCGTTGCTTCTGCATGGTTGTTCGGGGCATCGTTCGGGGGGGATCTGCTGAGGGGAGGGGGATGCATCGACCCCCAGTCGCCTCTTGATGGCCGCTAGGGGCCCGATAGCCCACCGAGCCCAGGAGCCTTCGGATTCCTGGGGCGTATCGCCGATGTATCGGCGATGTATCGCCGATTCCAGCTCGAGGTTCCCCCCCCCGAGCCGGCCCCCCCTAACGCTTCCTCTCAGGTTGCAGCGTCAGCGGCGATGATTCTGCGCTTGCCACGAGCGAGTGTCCATCCGTTTACGGTGAGGGCAAAACTTATTGCCCCCAAGGTTACAGCTATGAGATCGTGTCGGAGAGTTTCGCGACTACTATCGCGTACTGCATCAGGAACACGTCCACCGTCGAAGCTACAAGGGCCGATACGACTATCGATGTAACGGGTGACGAGTATTACGGTACAGATACAATCGACACGATCGGATCTGGAACTGCTGGCAATTGCCAGTGGTGCAGTGCGAATCAAATTTCGGCTCCAGAGCAGAACGGGGCTGGTGCTTGCTGGACGCCATATTTCGACGCCCAGGCGGAATGTCCTGAGCAATACCCTTTTGCATCTGGTGCAAACAACGCATGGTGTTCGAAAAGCCAGAATTTAGGTATCGTCGACGCTGTTTACTATCGCGGACTGCTGGGTGGCTCCTGGCATTGCTGCAAAGAGCAAGACTGGAATGTGGGTACTTCATATTGCGATAATCCATACCTGTGTGAGCAGGGCACGTCGGCAACAGCGGGTACTTTCACAGAGGAGTATCAGATGGCGGTTACGTGCGGCAAAGCGCCTTGCGCGACTCATGGTTTCGTTTGAGGTTCGCTTGATACCGTCAGCGTCAGTCTCCTAGCCCTGCCAGCCTCAACACATAGGAGAAAATGTGTCATAGTTCTTTTTGAGGGCCGCACCCCCCAAACGTTTCAAGCTTCACAAAGAGAACTACCGACGTCGACGATCGTCGATCTTCGACGACGGCGATGTTGCACTATGTTTGCAGTCCGTTGCAGAGGGTCGTGGTCGGCGAGTTCCCCTGAGGGCGCCAGCGGGCCCGGGCACAACCGACCACCGACCAGACAATCGGCAGGCAAGGACAGACAGCAGATCATCCGCCGGCCATGGCTGCCGCTTGGTCTTGCGCAAAAGGGGAGGGAGGAGGAAGCACGAGCGGCGATGATGGTCGATGCCAACTGTTTGCAGATCCCGGCCGAGGGCGTCATTGCTGAGTGCAGTTTCGTCCGCCAGCATGGGCAGGGGAATAGGAGGTTGGCGCAGGAAGAGGGAGCACACAGAGAGGGAGGGAGGAGCAGGCATGGGCGTGGAACCCCCAGAACTGAACATGATGTGCGGCACGGTCCGTCAGCCCTCCTCGGAGGAGGACGAGGATCGGAAGACGGAGGAAGACGGAGGAGGGAGGAAGAACAGGGAGGGAATTCGGAGCTCGGAATTCAGATGTCCTCGAAAGTCCGCCAGGGGCGGCACTGCCAGGGGTGTGCAGGACGCGGAACCGCCCGCAGGCCAGGAAGGGTGGGACGACGGAGGAGGAGGGAGGAAGAGAGGAAGACGGGGGGTAAGACGAGGGAGGAAGAAGAGGGGAAACAAAGAGAGGGGGGAAGGCGAAGGAACGGGAGCGGAACCCCCATAATTGCTCACAACGTTCTGCTTTGGTCGTCAGCCCTCCTCGGAGGCAGGACGGAGAACGGAAGACGAGGAGGGAGGAGGCGCGCGCAAACCATCGAACTGGTCGGTGCCGCAGAGGGAGAAGGAAACAGGAGGGAGGAGGAAGAACCAGGGTGCAGGATCTCTGCCTCTCGACCAGCTCTCCAGGAACTATGCTGCCATCGCCCTCTCTGCTCACTGCTCCCTCCTCTCTCCTCCCTCCGTTCTCTCTCCTCCTGCCTCCCTCCTCCATCCTCATCGTTCTCCCTCCTTTGTCGCCTCATCCCCATCCTCTTCTGATCCCGAACATCCCAGGGGCTTGAGAACTTCCACCGGCCGCCGGGCAGATTCGAGAAAAGGTCTGGCGCGGTCTTCTCGTGTCGCCATCAGAACGCGTCTCTGGAGGTCCGCGGAGGTCCCTGGACGTCTCCGGGGGCTCGCTGATGGCTCCCAGAGGCTTCTGGAGGGCCACAAAGTTCGGGTCGGGCGAAAGGGGGGGATAACAAAGGGGGGGTTTGAGAATCAGCTCACGTAGCTGATTTTCCCGGCGCCTCCCGGCGCTGGAGGCGGCCATGTATCGAGGAATGGGCCCCTCGGTGGGGCCGAAACCAGCTGCATGCAGCAGATTTCGTAACCCCCCCTTTCCCAATCCCCCCCTTTCGCCCGGCCCGAAAAATAGCTTCGAACTTCGAGCCCCGATGTCTGACCTCCCGCGGCCGGAGTGTGTCCGAGACATGGGATCCCAGGCCTCTCAGCACTGGGAAGTTCAAGGCTTTACGGCCAGCGCCGCCGACCCTGAATCCTGAGATCTTGGCGTCTTTCCCCGCCGGGCGTTTTTGCTTTTTTTCGGGCCCCCGGACCAGATCGATCCGATTCGAAAAATAATGCAGAAAGATGGGGTCCAGGGCTCCGGGCGCGATGTTTTACGATGTTGTAACGTTTCCGCCACGTCGGACCTCACGGCGACGAGGACGCTGACGCTAAGGAGCCTTTCTTGGAGCTCTCTTGGGAGCCTCTTGGGCTCTCCGTTGGGGACGGGGCCAGGCTGGGGCCTGGGCCAGGGCTGGGGCCGGGCCCGAGGCTGGGAGATGGGTCACGGTTATGATGTTCCAACCGACTTTGCCTGGACCACGAGAAAGAATTTCGAGCACCAAGACAGTACCGAGACCAGAGGGTTTTCACGTGTGGGGCCCCCCCCCCGGGGCTCTGGGAGGCGATACTCGTTCGACATTGTTTCGATACTTTTTTGGGTGCTCAAGATTATTTCTGGGATGTGGTCCTTGAGTACGACTGGAGCAACAGAAGGTCATGAGTTCACTTTTTGACTGGGAGGCCACACCCCCTATCGCCCTTCTTGATCCACAGGGGGGACCCCTGGGCCCCCTCCCGGGACACCTCCCCCCGTGACCCTCCTCCGGACCCCGCCCCCCCCTCGGATTCCCCCCCCCCCTTCGGCAGGGAAGGGATCGAAGGGAAGTGCTGCCTTTCGGATCAGTAACGACGTTGCTCGATGTCCGTTTTGCTGGATAGCTTGAGGAGGAGGGCCCAGGGAAGAGGGGGGAGCGGGACGACGACGAGGACGATGACGACGACGAAAACAGATAAGCTTTTCTTTCGCTCTCGCACACACGCACACACGCACACACGCACACGCACACGCACACGCACACACACACACACAAAAACACACACACACACACGCCGAAGGGTTCGGCGGATTTTCCCCAGGTGCCCACCTTGAGTAGTGTTCTTGCCTTGCTGGCCCAGGAGGGCCCGAAAACGACTCAGGCCTAATTCGGATCCCAGGATTCTTCAGACTCAAAAGCATCCTCGAGGTTGATCGAACATTTCGAAAAGACATGTGTCTCGATTTGCTCGAGCGCCAGATTTCTAAGAACCTCGATCCTCGACGGTCGAGCGATCGCTCCCGCTCATCTCCATTCTCCAGAAGGAGAAGGGGGAGAAGGAGAAATAGGAACGAGGAGGAGGAGGAGGAGCAGGAGAAAGAGGAAAGGATGATGATGATGCTGGTGATGATGATGATGATGATGATGCTGGTGATGATGATGATGCTTATGATGATGATGCTGATGATGATGATGATGATGATGATGACGATGACGCTGACGATGATCATGGTGGTGGTGATGATTATGATGGTGGTGGTGGTGGGTGTGGTGGTGGTGGTGATGGTGTTGGTAGTGGTGATGATGGTGGTGGTGGTTGTGATGATGATGCTGATGTTGATGTTGATGATGATGAAGATGATGATGATGATGCTGATGATGATGATGGTGATGACAATGCTAGTGATAATGATAATACTGATGACGATACTGATGTGTATGATGATGCTGCTGCTGGTAACGATGATGATGTTGATGGTTATAATTAAGGTGGTGATGAGGTTGATGCTGATGATACTGATGGTAATGATGATGATGATGACGATGCTGATGCTAAAGCTGATGATGATGCTGATGATGATGATGATGCGCATGGGGATGAGGATGAGGATGATGATGCGGATTAGGATGAGGAGTAGGACGAGCTTGAGGATGAGGATGGTCATGATGTTGATGCTGGAGATGATGCTGCTAATGTGGTGATGCTGATGCTGGTGATGCTGGTGATGCTGATGATGCTGATGATGAGGAGGATGATGAGTACGAGACTGATGATGCTGATGATGCTGAAGATAGTGTTGATGCCGATACGGGTGCTGATGATTACGATGCTGATGATGACGATGCTGGTGTTGATTATGATTCAGGTGTAGATGTTAATGCTTATGCCGATGAGGATGAGGATGAGGATGAGGGTCAGGATAAGGATGCCGATGATGATGGTGATGCCGATGATGATTACGATGATGATGGTGACGGTGATGACGATGATGATGATGTTGATGATGATGTCTATGATCGTGATCATTTTCATGATATTGATCATGTTGATGGTAATGTTGATGATGGTAATGCTGATGATGGTGATGCTGATGATGATACTGATCATGTTCATGATGATGCCGATGGTAATGCTGATGATGGTTAGGTGATGATGGTGATGGTGATGATTAGGATGATGTCGATAGTGGTGGTGATGGTGATGGCAAAGGCGATGGTGATGACGATGGTTGTGATGATAATCATGATCATGATGCTGCTGATGCTGAGGATGCTGACGATGATGGTGATGCCGATGATTCGGATGATGCTGATGATGAGTATGATGATTATGATGATGGTGCCGATGATGATGGTGGTAATGAGGAGGAGGAGGAGGAGGAGGAGGAAGAAGAGGAGGAGGAGGAGGAGAAGGAGGGTCCATCGGAGGCCGACGCCTCTGCGGACGGCGGCCCCTCCCCTCCAAGCCGAGAGGGCTGCGTTGCTGCCGCGCGCGCGCGTGCGCTACAGCGTGCGAGCAAGTCGGCGGCCAGCCCGGGGGAGCAGCGAGAGGGGGCGGGCCTTCTCAGAAGGCTCGGATGCCCCCGGGGGACCTCTGAGAAGTGTTCTAAGCCTCCCCCGAAGACTCGGGGGCCCCCAAACGGTGCGGTGACCACGCCGTGCGGTGAGTCGGTGGGGATTCGGGGTCACCGCACGGTTCTGGGACTCGGGCCGTTCTCCGAGGACGTCTCGGGCGACTGGGGCCTCCAGGGCCCCAAGACCGTGCGGTGACGGACCGTGCGGTGAGGTCTTCGGGGATTTCAAGGTCACCGCACGGTCCGTCACCGCACCGTTTCGGGACTCCAAAGCCTCCCCCGAAGACACAGAAAATATTCTCAGAAGGTCGGATGCCCTGCCGCCTTCTGAGAGGGCCTCGTTTTTCTCACCGCCCCCCCTTTGTTCGCCGCCGAGCAGGTCAACTGAATATCGAGCGCGCGAGGTTGTTTCCGATGTGGAAGAATCAAACTCCGACCCACAGGAGAGCTTCCCGCCCACTCTGTCCATGACAGTTGTTCAGACCCCCGACGCCGTGACTCCTCTGTTGGCAGCCGCCCCAGCGGCTTCGATCCCTTCCCGAGGACCGAGGAGGGGCCCTGTGGCGGCCCCAGAAGCAGACAATTGCTGGACGCCTCCGTTGTGGTTCGTGTTCGCCACGCCACTCTGGTGGCCTGGCACACCTCCGGACACCTCTGGTGGCTGGACATGGCACATGGCATCTCCGTTGGGATTCGTGTTCGTCGCTGGACACCTCTGGTGGCCCAGCACATGGGACCCCGAGGATCACGGGGATAAAGCGGGGTAGCTCTCGCACCCCGCTCTCTCCCCCTCTCTCTCTCGTTCTCCCTCCTTCTGAGTTCGGCGGCCACCCGCGCTGAGGCGACTGGCGAGACGGACGCCCTCGAGTCCAACGAGTCCGAGCGCGGCATCGAGCGGGCCCCTCAGAGACGCCACTTGCCTCGCCCCCTGCGCGATCACTGCTCCCAGACCTCCAGCGTATTGAACAATTCTTCACGCTTCGCGTATCCCCACCAGTCTTCACACCGAGTGATCGACCTCTGCGTGTTCCTGATCGCGCCGCCGCGCCATTTTGGCTGCGCCTACTTGATGGTCGCCACCGGGGTCTCCCACGCCACCCAGTTGGGTGTGTTGTTTCTGGCTCTTCTTCTTCTGAATGGCTGCCCGCGCGCTCAGTTTGCTTGCCTCTCTTTTCCTGCTGCCTAGTCGCGGCCCGGCTAGTGTTCAGACGGTTTTCGACTTGCTTCGCGAGCCCGCAGACCAAAAAATATCCCCACCAGTTCCCGGCTGCTGCTGCTGCCGATGGCCCCCCCGCCGTGAACGCCGCGCGGCCCGCCCCGGCTTGTCTCACCTCCTGTTGCTTTCCCGTTGTCTCTCTTCTCTTCTCTCTTGTGCTAATTTGGACTGCTGCCAGTTAGCGGAAGTTCTGATAGGCGCGCGGCCTTTCCGTTTGCGTTCGCGAACGAAAAAGTATCCCCACCAGTTTACGGCGCGGCCCGCCGTAGCGCGCTCGGCGTTCGATTTGCTTCGCGCGCGCCCGCGTACAAAAAAAATCCCCACCAGCCCGTTCAGGGATTCTGCCGATGAGAGCTGACAGGAAAGGGGACGAAGAGACACATGCAGTGAAACAGACGGGCAACCAGGATGAACACAGATCTTTAGGAGCAAAGGGTTGGTCCTGGAGGGCCTCGCTGGGCCATTCCTCGGGCCCGCGGGGGGGTGAGGGGAGGAGAAAAAAGAGAACGAAGAGGAGGAGAAGGAGGAGGAGGACGGGGAGGGGAGGAGGGGGAGGAGGCAAACCGCCTCTTGGGGCCCTCGCGTGACGCTCGTGGGTCGCTCGTGGAGCCGTCTTGGGAGCCCTGGAAGGCCTACTAAGGCCATCTTGGACATTACCCGTCACAAGAGGGGGGGCCCCCGATGTCCCCCCCCTACCCGGGTGCCATCAAAAAACGTTTCTTGAGGCGCTATTGGGGTTTTCGTGGGTCCATTTTGGGCGCTGAGGAGGAGGAGGAGGAGGAGGAGGAGGAGGAGGAGGAGGAGGCGGAGGAAGAGGAGAAGAAGGAGGAGGAGGAGGAGGAGGAGGAGGCGGAGGAGGAGGAGGAGGAGGAGGAGGAGGAGGAGCAGGAGGAGCAGGAGGAGCAGGAGGAGGGGGGGGGGCAAGGGGGGGCGGTATCATGGCGGGGGGCATGAGGTCTCCCCATGTTTCATGGCGCCGCTTATTAGTTCAATGTGTTCCTGGCTCCCCTTGGCCGCGCACGTGTCGCCCGACATTGTTTGCGCCCCCCCCTTCTTGGACGCAACCGGCGAAGGACAGCCCGCCCCTATCTTTTTTGGCAGCGAGAGGAGGTGTGGGGGAGGGCGAGGGAGGGCGGAGCGAAGGAGGTCGTTGCGTGATACAGTCGGATCGGACTATAAGATCGAGGTCGATTCGGGGAGGATGCCCGAGTGTTCTTCGTGTTTGTTGGATGTTCTTTTACATCCTCGGGAGGGCACCCTTGGATGTTCTGTGTGATTTGGCCTGCGGATGGGTCTCATGTTATTGAAGGATGTTTTTTTTTCTGTCCCAGGTCCGATTGTATCCGACCTCGACGCAAACAAATTGTGGGTTGGTTTGGGAGGTCGCCGTGGAGATCGCGGCGGCCACACATCGGAGCACGCTTGTGGTCAAGGAGTGGCAAACACATTTCCAGTCCCCTCCCACCGCTTAACGATTTGGACGTGGCTCAAAATGAAAGACAGGTGTCAGTCTTCATGTCCTTCATGGGCAGAGATTTTTGGTTGGCTAGGACTCGGTAATCCCTAGGCCTCCCAGATTGGGTCCAAGCACACGGGATCGGAGGATCACCTTGCATCGCCCATGCGTTCCCGATGCGGCTCGGTGTAGAGCCCGATTATCTCCACGCGGATGGTTCCGAGGCATCGGCGACGTCGGCGATGCATCGGCGATGCGGCGCGATCCTCCGACCCCAGCTGCTCCGACCCCATCCAGGAGGCCTCTATGGTTAGGGGCCGATCCATCACGCAACCATGATGCCCGAGCCGACGCCGAGGCTGTGCCGCGTGGACGCCGCGCGGAAGGACATCGTCGTCTGCGCGGAGGACGGCCCGCGCTGTGGTCTCTCTCTCTCTCTCGCGGGTAGTGCGGCGCTTGCCCCGGGCTGCCTCGAGCGGGCGCCTCGTGATTCGAGGGCTCCCAGATTCACCGAGCGTGCTCCACTGTACACTAGCAAATTGCCCATCCGCAAGAGGCCCCGAACACAATCGTCTGCCTCGAAGGACGGGATCGCCCTCGGCGGATCCGGGCCCCTTGCGAGCAGCCGCTTTGCGAGCGGCGGGGCGCGCCTGCCTCTTGCAGACGGGGTCAGAGTAGGTGGTCGGGGGCGGGCGGCCACGGGGGGTGATGACCGGCTCGGACGTGTGCATTTTTCTTCGGCGAGGGCCACCGAGGAGCATCCTTGATCATTTGGCGAAACAACCACGCACGAAACCGAAGAAAACACAGGGAATGGACGTCCGAGCGATGACGGGGGGGGGGGGGGAGACCATGGCCGGGGCAGTGGGATCTCCCCAAATCTCACGGCCGCTTCTGCTTTCCATGCGCTCCCCCTGGAGCCCCCCCTCGTCCGCACACGTGCCCCGGGCCACGACCCGCGAGCCTTCCTCTCTGGGGCGTTTTTCTCCTGGGCGCATCCGCGGCGGGAGGCCCTCGCAGCCCGGGCCTCCCCGAGTGGGTTCCGAGCAGATGGGGTTTGGAGGATCGCGCTGCATCGCCGGTGCATCGGCGATGCGGCTCGATGTGGGGCCCGATTTTCTACACGCCGACGTCGCCGAATTGCCCCGAATTCGATGATCAAGACATGGCAGTCGGAGCATTTAGTCACACAATCATCGGCCATTAGAGTATGTAGTCGCGTAATATCATGTCAATACGAACCCAATCAGCAAAGAGACGCAGAACCATGCATTGGAACAGAGCTATTTGCAGGACTTCCAGATCTGAGCTTCGGCGCTCCGGCGCCCCCGCTGCGCTCTTCAAGGGCCGCGCCCCAGCGCGAACTGTAGCGTCCGTCCAACCGACGTCGCCGATACATCGCCGACGTGGCCGATGCGTCGACGATGCGGCGCGATCCCGCGACCCCAGCTGCTCCGACCCCATCCAGGAGGCCTCTCTGATCAGGGGCCGATCCATCACGCAACCAGGATGCCCGAGCCGACGCCGAGGCTGTGCCGCGTGGAGGCCGCTGGTGGTGGGGGGCGGGCGCCGAGCCCAGACCCCCTCGCGTCTCGAGGAGAACATTCCGGGAGATGGGGTCGGAGCAGATGGGGTGGGAGGATCGCGCCGCATCGCCGACGCATCGGCGATGCATTGCATCGCCGATGCGTCGACGTTGACGCTACCGCTTATCGATCAGATCGATCAGCGGTAGCGGCGGCTTGAGCGCCCTGGTTTGGCCACCCCGCGTCCCCTGTTAAGTCGCGCACCAACGGTCTTCCTAGCCCAGGGTCACTCTTACGTGTAGCCGACAGAGTGTCCCTTCGCCAGAGTGACCCTTGGCGCTGGCCCAATGGTGGGTCTTCTGCAACGATAGTGGGAGGAATATGCACAGGGGGGATGCATCGACACCTAATCGCCCATTGATCGTGGATAGGGGTATGATAGCCCCACCCTGCCCAGGAACTTATCGCTGCCTATCGCCGATCGATCGGCTGCCTATCGCCGATCGATCGGCGATGTATCGACGATTCCAGGTCGATGTTTACCTTCCCTTATGCCATTCCTCCACCATCGTTGCCCCCAGTGGGTCGAGCAATTGTTCTTCAAGATTGAGCAGGGCCTCGCGGCGGCGCACGAGGCGTCGGGTTGCGCTCGCATCTGAGCGCGCCAGTTGGGCCACCCCTCGCAACCAACCGCAATGCATACACGGTGCACCCTACAGCGCGCGTTGGATTTCCGACTGGTCCCGCACCCTAACCTAAATCTCTTATCGTCTGGCTCGAGTAAATTTGAACAATTTTGAATGAGGGTCTTTACCAAACGAACTCTTCACAATTGGAAAGTATTCCCGCCCGTGGGGGAGGGGCCGCGGAGTGCCTGGCTTTGGCCACAACGCCGGGCCTGGTCAGCCGTCTTGCGCTGCAGCACAGCAGTGCCAGATCTCATAGCGGTGGCGCCGGCAGCGTATGCTTTCGCAGCGCTTTCAGGATGCCATTCGGGGCGCCCGAATCGAACTTGCGGAATTCCGCATTTGTCCGCTGGCGCTAAGGATCTTTCGGAGCGCGTCCCCCCAGTCGTCGATGCGGCGCGACATTCGCGGCTTGCGCGGTTGCGTTGGGCCCGCACGGGCGCTCCAATTCCCGCTCAGCGGACGTCACTTCTGACTGGCGCCCCTATTACGTGCAGCCGAGAAATTCGCGCGGACTTCGGACAATCTATGGTTGTTCAGCTAGTCCTTGCTATCATTCTCAGAGTGAGGGGCCCGAACGGTCTTACATGCTCCCTGCGCGCGCGTGGCTGGAATAAGGACGGCGCTGCTGGGAGGGCACGCAGGGAGGTCACGCTGGGAGGGCACGCTGGAAGGGCACGCTGGGAGGGCGCGCCGGCAAGGCGCGCTGGGAAGACGCGCTGCGAGGGCGCGCCAGGAGGGTACGCAGTCACGCTGGACAGGCGCACTGGGGGAGGCGGACTGCATGACTGAAGAAACGCCTGGTCGTAGCTCCGCTTCCCCCGCCCCGCTCCGTGTCCCCCATCCTCCTCCTCCTCCTCCTCCTCCTCCTCCTCCTCCTCCTCCTCCTCCTCCTCTTCCTCCTCCTCCTCCTCCTCCTCCTCCTCCTCCTCCTCCTCCTCCTCCTCCCTCCTGGCCCCCGCTCTCTTATCCGCACTGGCGGTGCGCTTGCGTGTTTTATGTATCATGTGTATTCCCCCGTTGCGCGTTTCGCTGGCCGTCTGACGTCTGACCTCGCGGGAGCGCCCGAGGGCACGTCGAGTTAGCCGGTGGAGGAGAGGCACCTCTTGGGCCCTCTGGGGGGGCTCTCTGCCCGTTCATAGGGGGCCCTCCCTGGGCCCTCCGCAGAGCACGCGGGGAGCTGCCAGGGAGCCCCCCCGTGGGGCACGCGCGGAGCCCAAGAAGATTTGGCGCGAGGCTGTTTGTTTCGAGAGTGGAGGAGGAGGAGGAGGAGGAGGAGGAGGAGGAGGAGGAGGAGGAGGAGGAGGGGGAGGGAGGAGGAGGAGGAGGAGCCTGCAATCCAGGGGGCTGGGGGCCACCACAAGGGGCCCCAGGACACGCCCACTCCGTGCCAGGAGGCACGGTGGCGGAGACACATCGGGAGGGACAGAGAGAGAGAGAAAGAGAGAGAGAGAGAGAGCGAGAAACATATAGAGAGAGAGAGAGCGAGAGACGTAGAGAGAGAGAGAGAGAGCGAGAGAAAGAGAGAGAGAGAGAGAGAAAAAAAAAGAGAGAGGGAGACAGAGATAGAGAAAAAGAGAGCGAGAGGGAGGGAGAGCTTCTAGCAGCTCGCGCGGGGCGTGGGGGGGCACGCCTCACATGAACGGGGGGACGCGCAGCGACCCGCACGAGCGACGGGGGAGCACGGAGCCGGCTGCGCGGACATCCGCGCGGAAGCGTCCGGCGTAAGCTCAAGGGCGAGCGCCTTCTTCCCCACGAATGAGGCAGAGTGTTTCGCCGCGCTCTCTGCCTCACCCCAGGTCTTTGTCTGCAGGAACCCCCTTTTCGGGTCCTGCAGCCATTGGGTGCATGCTTCTTAGAAGCTGCACCACCTGGCCTGTCCACGGCGGCTCAGTGATGTCTTTGGCACCGCGGTCGATGCCCACGGCAAAAAAAAAACCTTCTTCACCACGAGGTGTGAGCCACCCCGGCGGCCCGGGTGTAAGCCAGCGCGCAAGGTCGTTGAGTGTGTGTTCGCTTGGCATCGCTCGGACGTGTGCATGTTTCCGTCGGCGAGGGCCATCGAGGAGCATCGTCATTTGGCGAGAAAACACCACGCACGAAACCGAACAAAAACACAGGGAATGGACGTCCGAGCGATGGCCAGAGCGCGCAAGGTCGCTAAGTATGTGTTCGTGCGCAAGACGCAAGACCCCTCTGTCTGTGTGTGTGTCGCTTCCGTGGCGCTTCTTGCAGTGGCCTAAATGCTCCCTCCTTCCGGCGGCCGCGATCCTTTATGGAGCTTGTTCGGGCCTTTCTCGTGCGATCTCTGTGCGCCAGGATGTCGATGAGAAGTGGCAGCAGACTTTGCCTCCAGTCATGTGCGCCGGCAGCATCGCTGCCATCGTTTGGAATTTTGTTCGACCATCGTGTCCGGCTATACTTACGAGAGACCTTTTGCTTGAGTGGCCTCTCGTGCAAGCACACAGGGCCTTCCCGGTGGGCAAATGCGACGCGATAGCAGCGGCTTGCGCGCTCTGGTCCGGCCTCCCCGCGGCCCCCGCAGGTCGCGCACCAAAGGCAATTCTTGCCTAGGGTCGCTCTTACGTGTAGCCGACCTGTGATCAGAGAGGGTTTAGCAATGGACGTGCATGATGCGCAACCATAGTGTCCCGTCTTGTGGAGCGAATGTGTATACCATACACGTGGATGTCCGCGTGCATGTTATGTTTACACGTGTGTATGTTCATATGTATACGCGTGTGTGTTCACATGTCCAGTTGTGCGCGTGTGCGCTTGCGTTATTGTGCATGGCCATGCGGTAATTGCGCATTGTTGTATCAGGGGTTATTAAGCGTAGTGTGTTGCAAACCAACCACGATATAAGATGACGTGAGTAAAGACGTGAAAGTCGTTCGAAAGCAACGGCCCATGCGACAGCGAAGTCTGACACAGCGTTGCCAACTCTTCTAGGAAGATGATTCCAGGAGGACGTCATGAAGTGTTCAAGGGGCGTCGTGGGGCGCATCACTGCCGATCAGCACTTGGCGTTGAACGGAAGCCGGCAGACAGATTTCGTATCGTGAGTGGTGCACATCGCCTCCGAGTCGTGCCACACCAAGCGGAACCACGTTACACACCTCATCGGGCGACCAGTCTGGAATGTGTGGATGACGCGTGATGTCTATGATCAGCGGCGAGCACCGGGGGGGGACGTGAAGGGCAGCATTCAGTCGGGCATGTCCCTCTACAGGAGGTATATTCAAAGATAGTGAAAACATATTCTGGGGACTATTTGTTTTTAGCACCTGTTTGATCATTTTGATGTGTTTTGGAGTCTGTTTATTTTTTCGCCCAAAATCTCCTGTATGGGGACAGGCCCGGCTTACGGGTAGCATGCCTCCTCAGAAGGCGGCGAGGCTTCCCAGAAGCCATCGGGCCTTCTGAGAAGCCGTCTCTGCCTTGGGAGAAGGTTTCAAGTTTCTGAGGAGGCGCGCCAGGGCTTCTGGGAATCCCCGCCTCATCCTGAGGAGACCTGCCCCCCTTCCACGTCCCCTCCCAGGGCTCACCGCCGACGTGAGGACCGCTGCGCCAACGGCTCTGAGGCGTGTTCGGGAGTGGCGCGCTGCGCTCCTGCCACCGTTGGGAGGCGGCTCGCGGTCCCCCAGACGGGGGTCGATGTTCGATTTCGTCGGCCTGTGTCGCGAACTGCGGTGTCATCCTGCTCCCCCCCCCCTCCCTGGCCATTCTCCTGAAAACCCTCAGCCGATATTTCTTCTCTTCCTCCGCTTCCTCCTCTCTCCGCAAAGTCCTCAGCCCTCAGCCACTATCTCAGTGCTGCTTCGGGCAATCCCGAAACAGGAACGCGAGGCGGGGTACCCAGGGAGCACCGGCAGACCTTGGGCCCGACGGCCGCGGTATGCAGCATGTGCGAAGTGCGTCGGGCTCTCTGTTCTCTCAACCTAAGCAACCCCAAGCCTGTCGGGTGGGAGCAACCATCCCCTCGTCCTCTCCCCCCTCCACGCCAACTCCCCTCCGCCCCTCCCCTCCTCGCCCCCTCGCCCGCCCGCTCGCTCCGCGGCGCGCCGGCCACCGCGAGCAGCACAGCCGAGCGCGAGCGCACGCAGACGAGGCCCACCCAAGAATCCGGACCACCCGTGACGTTGCCCTCCATCATCCTCGAACGATTTCTCCCCTCCTCTTCCTCCTCTCCCTCCTCTTCGTCTTCCCTCCTCTCCCTCCTCTCCCTCCTCTTCCTCCTCTTCCTCCTCCTCTTCCTCCTCCTCTCCCTCCTCTTCCTCCTCCTCTCCCTCCTCGTCTTCCTCCCCATCCTCCTCCCCGAAGGAAACGAAACACGGCATAAACAAACCTCTCGACGGTCCGCGCCCCTGGCGCGCGGGAGCGCGCCAGGGGAGGGGGGGCCCCGCGAAGATTCAAGAAATCCGCGCGGTCCGTCGAAAGTGTATGTTTATGCCGTGTTTCGTGTTTTGGGGGGAGGAGGAGGAGGAGGAGGAGGAGGAGGAGGAGGAGGAGGAGGAGGAGGAAGATGAGGAGGAGGAGGAAGATGAGGAGGAGGAGGAGGAAGATGAGGAGGAGGCACGGCCGCCAGCGAGCCCAGCAACCACCCGAAAGCACGGTGCAACGAGAGGGCGGGATCGGCTCAGGGGCGGAAGCATCGACCCCCAAGCACCCATTCATCGCCGATCAGGGCCTGATGGCCCACCCGGCCCAGGATCGTTCGGCCTGGCTGTCGGGGGCATGGCGCCGATGGACCGCTGAGGTGTCGCCGACTCCAGCTCGATGTTCTTCCCCTGCTGAGCGGGTCCCCCCCTACCGTTGAGTCGGGCATGTCCCCCTCTACAGGGGGAATATCCAGAAACAGTCAAAACATAGCCTGGGGACTTTTTTTCTGGGGTATGTTTGGGCATGTTTGGGGGACTGTTTTGTGTATTTTTATATCTTCCATCCAAAATCGGCCTGTAGGGGGGCAGTCCCGGCTTAACCCTACCGTTCCCTCGCACCCGTCTCCTCCCCCTTCCCTTCTTCCCCACCTACGGTAGGTTCGAGCCGCAGCAACGCGGCGGCGTCCCAGCGTAGACGTTCAATGCTGAACGCAGCCAGTGGCCGAGAACCGGGTCGTATCGACCGACCTCTGCTGTCAGAAAGCCGATCGTCCAGGGTCCAGCGATCCGCGCGGAGTCAGAAGCCACTGCCGACGTCATCGGCGACGCGCACCAGCCGAAGCCCCCCTCTCCCCCATTTCCCCCGCCTCCCCCCCACACGGGTTCGTTCCGATTCTTCCGATTCGTGTCGATTCGAATTCGTTGGTTTCCGATTCGATTCGATTTCGGATTCCGATTTGGACTCCGATGATTTAGAATGGAGGCCTATTGACCAGCCGATGACTACCGATTCGACGTTTCCCGACTCGGCTGCCGATTTCCGCCGATCCGATTCATGTCGGTCGCCGATCCGACTGATCGATTCGATTCTGGGCTCACCTGCGCCCCCCTGGCGACCCAGGCATTTCGAATCATCAAAGTAATGTACAGATGCATTTTTCAAGTTCCGCGCGGGTTTCGCGGATCTGCGCTGGACCCAAGAAGTCCGCGCGGATCTTCGAGCGTGCATGCTTCTGTTTCCGCCTTTCGCCTTCGGGGCCCGCCGCCGCCCAACAGCGCCCCAACCGCGGCCGGGCTTGCACACATCCACCGCCTTGGGAGATGTGTGCGCGTCTGTCTTCAACTCGCCGAGGGCGTTCCACTACTCGCGAAGTGCCTACTCGCAAACGTCAGAAAGAAACATGTCTTTATAGTATTTACCATATCGTAAACTCACCTGGCGGATCCAGGTAATTTGCGAGTAGTTGATTTGCTAGTGGTGAAACGCGCTTGTCCGTCTTCGTTTTCAGTAAGGCCCGCCCGCAACTCCATTCCGAGACGCCCGAGTGTTCGTCTTCCTGTTCCAGGCCCGCGGAGTAAGCGAGAGGGGGCGGGCCTTCTCAGAAGGCTCAGAAGTCCTTCGCCGTCCTTCCAAGAGGTTGTGGAGCCCCTGCCCCAAGGACACAGGACAGAGGGTCTTCGAGGAGCCCGGACGTCTCCTGAGGAGGCCTCCCCCTCCTCACTTCCCTCCATGTTGTGCCACCCCCCGTGGCTCGCAAATGGCGGAAAAGCAGACCGCCGTTTACGGCCACCCAGACCCAAACCTCCGAGTTCGCGCATGCTGCCAGTCTGTACATACGCGTGCTTGCCCATCAGCTGGCACTCTATGGATCCCAGGGTTCCTGGCTTGTCCAGAAACGTCTGGCGTCTGGCGCATTCCAGATCTGATCCGTTCCTGATGGCCCGGGGCCCCAGAACGGCCCCCTGGAGAGGCCGAAAGTGAGGAAAACACGCTCTTGGATTTTCGGCAAAACAGCAAGAGCACAAACGATGGAACATCCGACGATAAATCCGTAAGGGCTTCGCCCCCTGCCGCCGGCCCCCTCTCTCGGAGAATGGGCCATGGAAGAGCTAAGTCATGAGGCTTTGGCGCTGTCGTGCAGCAGTATCGGAACTTCATGCGAGGCCGATTCGCAATCGGCAAAACCAACTGATCACAAGAGGGGTTACCACACAGGGCGATTGGTAAGACGTGTATGGTTTACGAGCTTGGTTACCACCACACTTGGGATTAAAGGGCCGAGGGAGTACTCGCAGTTTGGGTTACCACGCCTTGCGATGGATGTGCGTGAGGGGTGGCACCGAATTTCAGAAATGTGGCAAATCCCATGTGTTTTTGGACCCTGACCCCGCGGATCTGCGTGAGGGGTGGCACCGAATTTCAGAAATGTGGCAAATCCCTTGTGTTTTTGGACCCTGACCCCGCGGATCTGCGTGAGGGGTGGCACCGAATTTCAGAAATGTGGCAAATCCCATGTGTTTTTGGACCCTGACCCCGCGGATCTGCGTGAGGGGTGGCACCGAATTTCAGAAATGTGGCAAATCCCCTGTGTTTTTGGACCCTGACCCCGCGGATCTGCGTGAGGGGTGGCACCGAATTTCAGAAATGTGGCAAATCCCATGTGTTTTTGGACCCTGACCCCGCGGATCTGCGTGAGGGGTGGCACCGAATTTCAGAAATGTGGCAAATCCCATGTGTTTTTGGACCCTGACCCCGCGGATCTGCGTGAGGGGTGGCACCGAATTTCAGAAATGTGGCAAATCCCTTGTGTTTTTGGACCCTGACCCCGCGGATCTGCGTGAGGGGTGGCACCGAATTTCAGAAATGTGGCAAATCCCCTGTGTTTTTGGACCCTGACCCCGCGGATCTGCGTGAGGGGTGGCACCGAATTCCAGAAATGTAGCAAATCCCCCAGTAACCAGCAAGAAGTCAACTAGTTACAGTAACCAGCAAGAAGCAGAACTGTAACACTGGAAACTACAACCTACGACTGGTACAGGAAACTGCGAATCACGTGCCTCGCAGCCTGGTGGCCCCACAAGGGGGCCGGTGGATCCAAGTATCTTCCCCCCATCCTTCCCCTCCAATCTGGCTGCGTATGGGTGCCTGCGCCCGTCTGACTGCACTGCGGGGAAGCCTCAGGCGGGAGCGCCGTCCCTCCGTTTTGGGGCCTCCTCTGGCCAGGGCGTCTCGGATTACGCAGCGAGGAAATATCGAGCAAAAGCGTCCTTGTCCCACTTCCCCCTTTAGTGTCAAGTCGGGCACGTCCCTCTACAGGAGGAATATAAGATAGCATGGGGACGATGTTTCTACTATGTTTGACTATGTTTGAACACGTTTCTTGACTGGTTAAAACGTTTCGCCCAATATCCGCCTCTGGGAGGACATGCCCGACCTGACCTTAGCGGGCCCTGGAAATGACAACATGTTTTGTACCAGTTCCGTTTCCCGGTCTCTTATCGGGGGAGCGTAAGACCCGGGTTTGCCGGGACTCGGGTTCGCCATCGTTTTTTTGACGACCGCGACTCGGATTTTGACGAGTAGGAGTTTCGTGGGATGTCTGCAGCGGGAGGCCTCGTCACAATGCAGGCTCGGCCTCGTCATTTTTTTGACGACCTCGTCGGGGATTTCCGAGTCCCCTGTACCCGGGTCTTACCCCCCCCTGATCTTACCAGCCCGACGCCTATTTTGTTTGCTGGTTCCGTCGCCGTTCTTTCTCCCGTCCCGGCTCGGGCTCAAATTCCCGGAGCCGCTTTTGCTGCCGTTATTCCGGTCGCCGTTGCTCTGCCGAGTCTGTTGCCAAGAGACCAGCAAGCTTGGTTTTGTGTCCCGGGCCCACGAAGCTTCCCCTCATCGCTGGCTGCCCAGCCACCCCCCCCAGCGCCCCAACTCCGAGCCTGCATGGGGTTGAGTCGGGCGCGCCCCTTCTACAGGAGGGATACTCCAAAGATAGTCAAGAAAAGAGTGCGCGGGGACGAGGCTTCGATGCGTTTTGGGTTTTTTTTTGGGGGGGGGGGCAGGTTTGTTGACTTTCGCCCCAAGACGGCCTGTGGGAGGACATGCCCGACCGGAGGCTGGGGCCTGCGCGCGTTCCCCGCCCGGGGAGAGCCCGCCTCCCGTGGCCTCGGGGGAGGCGCCTGTTTGAGGGCCCTCGCCTGCCTCGAAGCACGGCCACGCGCCGGGAGGAGCTCCACCGCCCGCCCGGGGGGCCGCCGGGCCGGGGCAGCGGCTCCCGCGGTGGAGCCGGAGATGTTTGTGGTGTGACGGATCGTCGTCGTCGCGTCGTGTCGCTTCGTCGTCGTCGCGTCGCTTCGTCGTTGCGTCGTGTCGTGCGTCGCTTCGTGGAGCCGCGGTTGTGCGTCGTTTCGTCGTCGTCGCGTCGTGTCGTCCCGATGCCCTCTGCCACTGGGCGCTCCCACTCGGTGGTAGAAAGTGTCGGGCCCTCGTTTCGAAGGGACGGTGCCCCGCGCTCCTCTCCTCCTCTCCTCCGCCTCCCCCTCTTCCCTCCATCATCAGCATGATCATCAGCATCATAATCATCCTCTTTCTCGTCATCATCCTCATCATCAGCATCATCATCGCCATCATCTTCATCATCAGCATCAGCATCATCAGCAGCAGCATCAGCAGCATCAGCATCATCTTCATCATCATCATCAGCAGCATCATCATCAGCTTCGGCACACCACTCACACGTTTCGTGGCCCCAACAGGGAACTTCACGAAAGCCGAATTGGCAGGGTTCGGATGGCGGCCACGCCCAATTTCAGAAAGAGCGTGTTCTACCGCTGCTGGCGGAAAACCGGGGGGGGTCACTACCAGTTCGAACCCCTCCCCCCCCCCCCCCCCCTCCGGAAAACCGGGGGGGGGTCACTTACCCGTTCGAACCCCTCTCCCCCCCCCCCCCCCCGGCGCATCATGAAAAGGGGGGGGGGTCACTACCGGTTCGAACCCCCCCCCCCCTCCGGATCCGGAAAACCGGGGGGGGTCACTGCCGGTTCGAACCCCCCCCCCTCGAAAACCGAGTGGGGGTGCGGACAGTGGTGGGGACGGTGTTGGTGGGGACAGTGGTGAGGGGATAGCGGGACAGTGGTGGGGACAGTGGGACAGTGGGACAGTGGTGGGGACGGTAGTGGTGGGGACAGTGGTGGGGACAATGGTGGGAACAGGGGGGGACAGTGGACAGTGGTGGTGACGGTGGTTGTGGGGACAGTGGTGTGGGGACAATGGGGATGAGGTGGAAACAGTGGGACAGTGGAGGGTACAATGGTGGTGGGGACAGTGGTGAAGGCGGTGGCGAGGACGGCGGTGGGACAATGGGACAGAGGTACAGTGGGGACAGTGGTGGGGACAGTGGGGACAGTGGTGGAAACAGTGGGACAGCTCAGTGGGACAGCGGAGGAGTCAGTGGGACAGTGGGGACAGTGGGGATAGGCAGTGGTTGGGTCCGTGGAGACAGTGGGGAGAGTGGAACCGTGGTGGGAACAGTTGTGGGACAGCGGGGACAGTGCGACAGTGGTGGGGCCACTGGTGGGGACAGTAGGGGCGGTGGTGGAACCAGTGGGGACAGCGGTGGTGAGGACAGTGGTGCTGGGAACACCAGTGGGGGATGTGATGCGGACGGTGGTGGGGACCCGGAGTCGTTTGCTGGCGGTGAGTAGGGGGGGGGGGGGGGGGGGGGGGAGTTCGAACCGGTAGGACCCCCCCCGGTTGGTCCGGGATCGGAGGGGGGGGGGGGGTGGTGGGGAGGGGTTCGAAGGTAGGGACCCCCACCCGTTTTCGAGCGGGAGGGGGGGGGGGGGGGGAGGGTGTAGGGAGGGGGTGGGGTTTTTGCCGGGGGAAGGGGGGGTGGGGGGGGGGGGGAGAGGTTCCAGCAGGGGGGGGGGGATTTTCGGAGGGGGGGGGGGGCGACCCCCGGGTTCTGGAGGAAAAGGTTGGCAATTTTCCACAGTAAAGCGGCGGTGGATCACGCTCTCTCCAATTTCAGCACACCCCTCACACGTTTCGTCCTCATACGGACCTCCACCACCCCAGTGGCAGGGTTTGCATGACGGCGCCGCCCCATCTCGGCACACCCCTTACACGTTTCGTGGCCCCAAAAGGGAGCTCCACCGAAGGTCTCACTGGCAGGGTTCGCATGGCGGCCCCGCCCCATCTCGGCACACCCCTTACACGTTTCGTGGCCCCAAAGGGAGCTCCACCGAAGGTCCCACTGGCAGGGTTCGCATGGCGGCCCCGTCTCATCTCGGCACACCCCTTCACGCGTTCCGTGGCCCCAAAGGGAGTTTCACCGAAGGCCCCAATGGCAGGGTTCGCAGGGCGCTCCCACCCCATGTCGGCACACCCCTCACGCGCTTCGTGGCCCCATAGGGAACCCAGCAGAAGGAAGGCCCCAGTGGCAGAATTCGTAGGTCTCGCCGAGCGCGTAAAGAACACTTCCCTGCATTGATGTAATGTGTCGCAAGCCCCCCATGGCGGATCCATGCCACTTGCTCGTAGTTACTTTTCGAGTGTTGGATCACGCGTGTGTTACGCGGGCCCCGCCGCATTTCGGTACACACCTTACACGTTTCGTGGCCCCAACGTCCACCGAAGGCCCCACTGGCAGGGTTCACATGGCGGCCCCGCCCCATTTCGGCACACCCCACACACGCTTCGTGGCTCCATAGGGAGCTCCCCCGAAGGCGCAGTGGCAGGGTTCGCAGGGCGGGCGCAGTGGCAGGGTTCGCAGGGCGCTCCCGCCCCATGTCGGCACACCCGTTCACGCGTTCCGTGGCCCCATAGGGAGCTCCACCAAAGAGGTGCAGTGGCAGGGTTCGCAGGGCGCTTTCGCTCCACTTTGGCACACCACTCACGCGTTCCGTGGCCCCATAGGGAGCTCCTCCGAAGGTTGTGTTCATAGCGCGGTATTCTCAATTTCATACGGTTTGGCTCTTCGCCTGGATAAGTTTCAGATCTGAGAGGTTGTGGATGCGCACAAGTTCCGACCTCGGAGCGGGCCACCGCCCACCCGCTAGAAACAATGCCCCGAAGCAGCTTCGAAGCGGGTCCCCGCCCTCCCGTTCGAAGCGGATCTTGCTCTGGCTCCCAGTGCCCCACGGTCTTCCCTTCTATTGGAGGTTCGTAAAGAACGGGTCATCCCAAGGTGGGGGGAGGGAGCATGCCCAGCTGGATCAGACATTCCCCTCTGGCACGGGCCTTTTTTCCAGATTATCTCTGGCCCCACCTGCCCCTGACCTACAGCACCTCTGCACACCCCACGACTCTTGGCCTCCCAGATGGGGTCCGAGCAGAGGGCCAGACGATCGGGCCGCATCGCCGATGCATCGGCGATGCTGCTCGACGTGGGTCCGGTGCTCTCCGCGCTGACGTCGCCGAAGCACCGCCGACGTCGTCGATGCATCGGAGATGGGGGGCGATCCTCCATCCCCATCTACTCGGACACCACCAAGGATGCCATGGCTCGATCTGAACGGTGTTTTGGCGACTTCGTAGACCGTTTTCGTTTTGGCGCTGTTTTGCAGCAAAGGCGGAACGAAGACAAAACGAGGGAAAACGAAAACAAGACGATTACGAAACACATTGTTTTGGTCGAGCCCTGCAGGATGCCTTTACCCCCTCCTCCCGTCGATCCTCCCCTCGCCAGTCCGCCTCCTCCTCCTCCTCACCTCGTCATATTCCTCATCCTCAGTCTCATCATCCTTATCCTCCCCCGTTGACCCCCTCCTCCTCCTCCTCCTCGTCCTCCTCCCCCTCCTCCTCCTCCTCCTCCTCCTCCTCCTCCTCCTCTTCCTGCTCCTCCTCCTCCGCTGGCCTCGTGCCACGGAGGCGTGCCCCCTCGTGGTGCCGGGCACGCGGGCACGCGTGCGCGCGGCGCCCGTGCTTCTTTCGCTGCCGTGCCCGACGGCGGCGAGCGAGCGTGGACTCGCCTCGGCTCGGGTCCGAGGCGGGGATGTCTCCATATCCGCCGCCTGGAGGGTCAGTCTTCGGAGCCTCGGCAGGCGGTGGATATGGACCCGTCGGGGCCCCCGGGGGCCGCACTACATCCACATCCACCGCCCGCGGGGGCACCAGGGCGTCGGTTCCCGCGCGGTGGATGCGGATGAATCCCCGCCTCGCATCAGGGGAAGGAACAATGGCGCAAACAGAAAAGCTCGGATCGGCGCCGGACCCCCCTCCCTGGCGCGCGGAGCGCGCCAGGGGCGGCGCCGGAGGCGCCGCCAGGAGGGTCCTCCGAGAGGCGCCGGAGGCGCCGACCCGAGAAATCCGCGCGGACCTCCGAGTCTTTCTGTTGATGTCATTGATCTCTTCCCTATATAGAGTCCTGGTCAGAACACGCCTCCTGGGAGGCCCTCGTCGCCGCGGGTGGATTCGCCCCGAAGTCGTGGTCAGAACACGCCTCCTGGGAGGCACTCGTCGCCACGGCTGGGTTCGCTCCGAAGCCTTGGTCAGAACACACCGCGGGAGAGATCCGGGGAGGAGCGGTATCAGTCGACGGCCCAGCGAAGGGTGGATGTGAGAAGGAGAAGGCCTTCTCAGAAGGGGGCGGGACTTCTCAGAGGCCCTCGCGCCGTCCAAGAGGTTGTTGGTTCGTCTTCGGGGAAGGTTTGAGGCACTTCTCAGAAGGCCGGGGGACTTCCGAGCCTCCTGAGAAGGCCCGCCTCTTCTCAGTTCCTTCCCGTGCTCGCCGCCGACAGGAGCAGAGCAGTGCAGTGGCAACCAACATCAACTCTTTCGTTCGGTCCGCGCCGTCTTCGTGTCGTGTCGCAGTGCGCAGTGCTGTGTCGTTCCCATACTTGGAACGCCTGCCTTGGCGCTCATGCAGCCTTTGTGTGGCAAGCAGCTGACATTTCTGCCAGCTGAGGGCAGGCGTTCGCTGACAGGCTTTCTGTTTCATCTCGCGCGGCGAGCGGGGGGGGGGAAGTGAGAAGGAGGAGGCCTGCTCAGAAGCTTCGGAAGGCCCCCTGCCTTCGGCGAAGTGTTCCGAGCCTTCCCAGGAGACAGAACCAGCCTCTCAGAAGGCGCGAGGGCCTCTGAGAAGTCCCGCCGCCTTCTGAAAAGGCATTCTCCTTCTCGTTTCCACCCCTCGCTCGCCGCCGATCGTCGGCCTCGCAGTCCGAACATCCTCCGCCCCGCTCGCACGCGCGCGCAGGTACTCCCGGATCTCGCTGGCGCTCAAAAAGTTCGTGCGGGACGGCGCGGCCGCTGCCTTGGGCCGCGGCGTGGCTGGCGGCACCGCCCGCTTGCCGGGGGTTTTGGGGGGGGGTCTCGTGGTGGCGAGGAGGGCGAGCAGGAGGGGGAGGAGGAAAGGAAGGCATATGTTGGGTGGGGAGGGCGAGGAGGACGGGGCGGAAGAGAGATCCACGATGGCAAGGCGGCGGAGGACGACGCGGACGGGCAAGGCGGAACAGGACGCTGGCGAGGAGGCGGAGGAGGGCGAGGGGAAGGACAGTGTGGACGAGGGCGATTGGGAGGAGGAGGAGGAGGAGGAGGAGGAGGAGGAGGACGCGGGATAGGAGGGGAGTTTGAAGTTCGGGCATCCCGGGGCCTCCTCGGGCGGGCCATCCCCGCGGCCGCGGTGGCGGGGCGCGGCTCGGAAAGGCTGGCGCCAGGAGGGGATCTGGGACGGGTGCCTGCCTGGTGTTTCAGCTGGCTGTCGCTCGGGGAGCGGTCTGACCCCTGAGCCGCCCGCCCCGTCTTCGTTTTCCTTCTGCCGCGTCCTTCCTCCCTCCCTCCTCTGGCATGGTGGCACAATTCGCTCCACCGGCATCCCCGCTGAAGCCTCTCATCGCCAGCGCAGTCACCCTCTGCCCAGCCGCCGACGCAAAAAGTCTGAGCTGA